TAGATATAAACCTCTCTAACATGAGAACGAAATTAGTTCTTAAACAGGCAAATTATGTATATGGTTTAAACAACCGAAAATTTCAAAAGAGTGGTTTTGGAAGTCCCAGTAAGTAAAGCTGGAAAGAGGAAGAGAATGTGTGTAACTAAATCATCAATTTCGTGGGGCCAAGCTAGGGAGTGTGAGCCTACAAAGAGCCGATATTTTAATGCTAATAAACTAAAGTACTTACAATTTGTAAGTAGCTCAAAAAGGTCGCTATCAACTTTAGTAGGCAGTGGAATTTTTCCATTGATAAGACGTTATTAATAAACTATTCCAAGTAAGAGACTGACATTATAAATTAGTGCGATCCGTGAAACTTTGAGGTGAGTATACGTAGCACGAGACGTGAATTAAAAGACAGTCTACTACTATCCTTTAGAAAGAATAGTTTGGCACGAGACTCTAATTCCTCTTATTCAATGTGTTAAGGCAGCTCTGTAGGTGGAATGTATCATCAACTAGGTATTTCTTGCAACTAGAAAGGACGATTCTTGGAATCGTGAGTCTTGTGGTGTTACAAACGACCACAGATCCTAGTACTATGCAATTCTAAGTATAAATAGATCAGAGGCGTTTATCTCAATGTCGGTTAATAGAAAAAAACAGCGATCTATGTTTCTGTAAACAGACAATGTAAAAAGATTCATTATAGCGAATCTGCTAGGTTTTATGTCAAATATCATAAACAGTAGTCAGTAGCATCTTTGTTTTAAGTATTTGTGGTTGAAGTTGTGTAAGTTAAACTGACAAACTTGTCATAATATCGTAGATTGCATTGACCTGAAATCAGTACAGTTCTTAAAGTGATTCAGTAACCTATAATGTACAGTTTAGTGTTGGGGGAGGGTTACATGTGTCTTGATTAGTCAGCGGAGGGTGGAATTGAATATTATCCAGCAAAGTCTTTGGCAGGCGTCTGCGTGTTTTCGGATTCCTGATACCGGTAATTCAAAATGGTTCCAAAACCGAATAACTTACCGAGTGAAGGAATTTATATTCGAACAACTATGAAGAATACCAACTTGTCTCAAAGGGCAGCAATTAACTCTGTAACGGAAAGAGATCGATGAAATTGGCTCCGCAGCGTTTTTGTTAGACAGTACTGTCATTTACTTGTTTCTTCTCCCTGTCGTGTATTTTAACCTTTCTTCAGATCTCGTTTAACCACACATTTTATTCTTCAGTCTTCCTTGTCTGAGCCTTTATTGTGCTATTTTAATTAAAGACTTGTCTTTCGTCACCTAATTTTCTATTGCATGCTGCCAGACTATTGACAGTAAGGTCGTGTTTGATCGAGCTGAAGGTCACGGCGCGGTCCAGTGTGTGACTGTTAAACTTTTGACTGTCTGGGATCCCAGCAGATAGACATTTGATCCCATCTTGTTGGGAATATTTTTATTGACTCTCAGATATCGAACCTTTTGGTATTAACTGTTTCTTTTATTGTTCTGCGCACTAATTTGCATTAGAGAAACTTTTGACTGTATAGCACAGACTGTACCGTTTGAGGTATTTTGTATTTTTGATATAATCTGTTTTATTTCCTAAATTAGAACCGTTTAAATTGAGCATGAAGTTTGCGTTTTGATATAAATTAATACGATTATCTCAAAAATGCTTGGTACGCTATGCAGAAGAACGTAGTCTGGCCTATTCGAATAAATTTTGATTCATCAGTCCTACGTTCAAACCGAATACTGGCAGTTCGGTCGTTACAAGCACTTTATAACTTTTTTCCAGATAATTTTGATAGTTTCGCTTTACCTTTTTCACGGTACTGAGTTATTTTATTCGTTGTATGTACGGCTGCAAATATTAGTGTAATAACACCTAATTCACTTTAAACAAAACTCGAAATCATACATCGTCTATTATGTACTTTTTTAACATGCATTATTATCTGTTAACTGTGTTTTCCGATTACAAAGCTATTGGTGGCTGACAATGTGTGTACTTCGTGCAAAATTTCCCGCAGTTCATAGAAAGATTATTTAAGACATTTTCAGCGGATTCTTATCATGGCTTATTGCAATTGTTACGCTTTATTTTCTCATAACGATATGTTGCTGTTTACGTATGTCTTAGACCTTGTTCTCATGCATCCACGCATTAACGGGTTCGTGATGCTAAGGCTGGATACTAATGACTTAAGTAAGAAAAACTAATCAGACGATTAAACATGTTTTCTGAATTTAAATGAGTTTGTCGCAATCTTTATTTTTAACTTTTTAATTAATGATTAAATTCTTGATTATGCGGGAACTGTATTCAATGAACAAAGGGATTAACAACTTAAGTTGGCTAGTTAAGAGTTGGCCGAAAACATCAAGGTAAATTTCAGAACATTATGGCTTAAGTATTCATTCACTTCCTTATTTTGCATAAGCATCATATTTCCTATTATATCATATTGAATATTGAAAGGGATTGTGTGCTTGATGAGATAACCACTGTGATGTCCATAATCTAGATAAATACTTATCCACTGTTGATCTGGTTTCTTATACCGACACGAAAAATCAATCAGATGTGGTACAAGAGATTGTTCCCTTCTAAGCCGTCGGAGTTCTTCATTGACTGCCCATGAAGCAATCACGAAAACGTGGGCTGAGGTATTTGCTGATATGTTCGCCACTGGTCATTATAACAATGGTTTTAGTGTCTCAAAGCGTATTTCTAGTTCAGCGGATTATACAGCTAGATAGCATTGAATTATTTGAATCAGAGGCGAGGGCTTAACAATGTCGTTGAATGAATGGAGGTCATTCGAAAGAAAAAAATAAGTAACTCCTAACCTGCAAGTGAATAACATCGCTAGAATAATAGGTATATGGAGCGTTGACGAAATGAATAGCGTGAGTGATTTGCTTTTATCAACGGAATGCGATTTGTTTAATGGACCAGTGATTGTTTTACTGTGCTCGTTTGTTTAACTGTACTAAGTACAGATATTATTACCCCCCCGTTGACTTTGACGTTGTACGAATTCGGTTACGCTCAGCAACCGCACTTGTAATCTGGTACGATCTCGGTATTCTTTCGATACCACGAGATCGCCAACAAATACATCTCGACTACAGCCATCAACTGCCTTCTGATATTCGGCCTACGGGGAATCTTGTCGGTTAACTGGCACGTAGTGTTCTTGTAGTGGTGATCATAGTCAACCGCGACTCGACACCACGCCGCAAGCGTTAACACTGAAAAAAACACTGAAGTTTGTTCATACTGAAACTCATTCAAATGGTAGATCACATGCTCCTATTAACATAGGACTGCTAACGAATAAATAAGTTAACTCAAACAGCCTAACCATTATCCTTTTAAGATACCGGATAGCCTGTTTACATTTACGGATAAGGTGGTTTACGGATAGATTTGTTCGTTAGACTTATTTGTCAGTGTAAAATCCAAATGACGCAAAATATTGGCAGTATATTTCTATCGAAGATGTTAAATTGTTCGCATGAAACCTACTAGAGTATTGTAAAGAGTTAAAAGTGCCAGGTACAATTATTCGGGCTCATTGAACATCATATAAACGAGACCCACATAAGGTTTTTTCTTGAAATCCTGATTTTGAGTATGCATATAACAATCTTGACTGTGCCCGAATAGATACAGAGCCTAAATATTAACTTCCACAGGACAGCTGGTCTCATCTCATCGATTTGTAGTAAGTTTCAAATAGATAATCTTTTAAGCTTTAAGTGTTGGCTATTAAATCCACCACGTCAGCCACATTTCAGATAAACTTTTCTACCATATTTTATGGTCATTCTGCCACATGCAATGTCACGAGTGTGTTGTATATCTATAAATATGAAAAGCCAACCAGTGAACATAAGTGTACTTTTATTAATTTGTGTTGAGGTGGCTAGCTTTAAACGAAGCTAAAGAAGGGTTCATATTTAGAATCCTGAAATTTGGTTAATTGCAGTGCATACGTAGTAAATCATATGAATATGTGTGTAAGATTAGTGAGAGACGTCGTTAAACCACACAATGAGGGAAGAACAGTCGGCAACAGTATACGGAGCCGTTGAAGTGATGAGACTTTCAAGGTTACCATCTAGATCATTTGGAAAATAAGCGAATTCCTCGAGCGTCAATGGTGCATTTGAGCAGGTTGGGAGGGTTGACTTGTCTTTATAACTCTTATACGTTAGAAAAAGCGCCATGAAATCCGAATATTCTTAGGCCAGGTTTATATGTTAAATTTGTATCTACTTGTTAGAAGAAACTAACTTTACAACTGAACATTGAGCATGATGTTGACGTGACCACTGTAGTAATGACGATGAAACTTCTAATTTTTGTAAGAGAACATCTACTAAGTCGTTTCCACAAGGGTTTACATAAAATGATTGTGGATTAATTACTACTGGATAGAGTGATGTTAGCGGCAGTGTTAAAAATGAAGTGAACGATGTATAATGGGTAATGATCACGACTTAAGTTATATCCTAATTCTTGACTAGGAAATAAACTGAAGCTTTTTGTCCCGTAGCTACTTTGTATGGCAGATATTTATCGTCGACCTTGATAAGAATACGTCTACGTAGGGATAGAAGTAGGCAATAAGACTGTACCGACTTAAAAGGAAATTTAATAAAGTAAATCGGCTTAAAAGACAGGATATTGTATTCCTCCAGTTCCCCAATATATATATCCAGTCTAATCAAACTAATAATAGAAGCATCAAATGTTAAAGATTGGAACTTCAATACAGATGTTCTTATATCTACTGTAAGTTTTATGTTAAAAATCTTGAGATACATCTTCACGAGTTTTTACATAAGTTTTGCGTAGGGTCATCTGATATATATAAACGGGCAGTCACACTTTTTGTTCAAAAGAAGGGGCGGCTTGTTTTACTGTTCAAGAGTACAAATTACATGTTTGAAATGTTTGCCTATTTTCACTTGCTCGTCGAGATGTAGATTTTTTAATCAATGAAGCCAATCTCATCCGTAAGTTAATATGTTTTAACTTCCGAGTTTATATTTGAAATTGGGCAGACATTTTGCTGACCTATTCAAAATGCATTGATGACTAGTAAAACAATTGTTTATTAGATAGTGATTTGGTTATTCTGTTTGAAGTGTATATTTCTATTGCTTTTCTTACAAGAAAATTGGGTATATTCATAGTATCTTAAAAGGCCTTTTGTATCACACAGGCGCTTCACCAGAATTCTTTTTCTACTGATAGAGATTCCCTGACTTGTCTGACTCCATATTAGAATGTTACCCTCAAAATAAATTTGGTACTGTTTAGTATGTTAGATATGCAGGTGTATCGCTGTCGTGATTGCTGGTCTCGGCATATCGTTGAGTTCAGAATTTCAAGTCGTAATAAATACGTATTTACGAGAACTATTTGTGAAAGACTCATTTTCAGGAAAAATTCGTTCTTGGCGCTGTATTAGTAAACCTTTCATGATAATTATAGGACTAGCCGAAGTTTTCAGCTGTGTGTAAAATGTTTACACAGAAACCTTCATTTTTCTGTGTAAAGGATATTGAAACTACATTGTTTTCATGAATTAACATAATTTGTTGTGCTCATAAAAATTTTCTATTATCCGTGCCACATAGTTTGTTGTTTTTCGTTGATAAAAGAGCGACCATATGTTAACTCTTGAATTTGTTATCTTTTTATCTGTCCTCTAGAAAGTTTTAGCTGTTTGAGTGCTACTGTGCTAAATGGTCATTATGGTTTTTTCTTTCTAGCTTGGGGATGATAATGTTAATGACACAAAAAGTACACATCATAAACATAAAAATGGGTTATAATTTTGAACTACTAGTGTTAATATGAATTAAAATGCTACAATTACAGTTTATGAGGTAAAACAATATTGACAAGGAGTTAAAATCCAGTACATATCGTGTGATAATAGTTATTAAGAAAACGTAGTTTCATTCGATTAATGAACATTACTCATTAGGTGAAACTGATGACTATGCAGACATTCCATTGTTTGTAAACGTCCATGAGATTAACTCAGTTTAAGTGGGAGGAAGTCAAAGTCATAACGTTAACACTAGAATCTTATAACTAGGTACATCTATATCTTCCTGTAGTCGTCGTTTCACACCAGGAACTGTAGATATTTCATGTTCATTCTGTGAGTTGGTCTGAAATGATAGTTGCTTTTTAATGTGCGAACTCCATATCCCTGATAGATCGCGTTGATATAGTTGAGGACAGAATGCAATTGAAATTAAAGGGATTTGAAATTCTTCAATACAGTTATGGTCGGAGTAACTATATATATAGTTAGACTTTATCTGTCTAAGTATATAGTTTTCACTGATGACTTAGCCGTCACTTTCAGTCAATCAGTCATCTACAATGTGAGGACAGGCACATATATGCATCGGTTCAAGTTGCCATAGCACATTAACACAACAATATGAATACCAAATTCATAGAAGCGGTTACTTCAATGGTAGCAATATATGAAAAAACTATCAAATATAAGGATATGATATAAGGAGAAGGAATTAATTCATAGAAAAAAGGTATAAAGTAGTTTTAGTCACCTACTTTAGAGGAAGACAGAGAGTGTATACACCTACGCCATTGTGATAGATTCTGAACCATGTCACAGAGTCTCTGATCACTGGTCACGATAGTCGCGGACCGAACCAAGTAGTCTGCATCTACCAACATGGCTAAGACTAGAAGTCAATGACTTCAAGCACTGATGCCATGTTTTGGTTTGGCCGCCCCTAACTTTATTTCATCGGTCTCCAATACTAGTCAGTATTGTGCGTCGTGGTAATCGGTGTTCAGGCATGCGTAACGCGTAGCCCACGAGGAAGTGACAACACAATATGTAATTTCAGTAGTTAAGAAAAACGTTCACCACAGTACATATTTACTAATACTTGAGTGTTGACTAAATATTGGTCAGCTAAACTTTCAATCTATGAAACTTCTGTTCAGGTCGTACACCATCACGTCAACGAAACCAGACAGCTTTATATCAATTAATTGTCATCATATCTGTTTGAAATACAGTATCGTTATGGTTAACGATAGAATGTTGAGGGATAATAATTAATAAAACAACACAGATTTACGATATTTTCCCAGGATATTACACACGATATTTATTTATCTCACTGGTTATATCTATAGATAGCTTCGATGTGATAAAACCTGGTACAGATATGCGTTAATCAACGCTATTACTCCTCAGATCACCACAACCAGGGAAAATAAATAACAGAGGAAACAAAAGTATTCAATCAGGTGGAAATATGAACATAGGAAGTCTTTGTTTAAAACTTAAGGGTGGGATTAGATAACTCCCGAAAATCAGAGCAAGGTAAATGGAGTATACAGTTGCTTCTCTAGACCCTGTTTGACATCTGTTCCACTTCTGCTTTGCGCTATAAGTTTGCATTTCTCAAAATGACAAGAATAGCAGATTTAACTACATCGATTTATGTCTGGTTAAGATAGGGTCCCCCCGTTCTTCATCAAACTACCCTTATTTCAGCCGGGAAAGTACTTTATAGTAAATAATAAATCAATAGGCGTAAGTGGTGTTACAAACATATCACGTGGTTAAATTTTATATATATATATATATATATATATATATATATATATATATATATATATATATATATATATGGGAAATACAACGACCTAATAATAATTGCGCCCCATAAAAACCATGACACACTTAGATTTATAGGTGATATCACCTAAGTTATCCGTTACTGAGGAGAACCTCTATTATTTGTAAAACTGAGTTATCATATGATGGTAATTTTAACAGAAACATAAGATGCGCTTTAATGAAAAAATGTTTATCTAAGTTAACTTTAATCTTGACTGATCACTTTTATTAAATAATAGTCAGTTATTGCTGTAAAATAGTTTTAAGAAGATTAATCTGAACTTTTTTAATTTGGTGATTGATTGCTTCACGTGTGATTTCTTTATCATATTTTGTATCATCATCTTAGTTTATTAGTGTAGTTGTCATTTCTTTTCACACTGAACTGACATCGAAACAAAATAATGACCGAGAAAATTGTTCTAAACAGTTGAAATTCTATTTAAAACCCTTAGCTATCACTCGCTATTATGAAAAGTGTCAGAAAATAGAGATCTAACTCAAAAAGTTGCATCTTAATGTTGTTTATTCGATAACAAAAGCACAGGGTGATTTTTTTTGTTTCCACTTGACACATTCTTTGAGTAAATTTTGGTTGGGCAAGAATATAAGTGGTAGAATTTTAATTCATTTATTGAAATGAATATCGAGGAAAACTATTTTACGGATAGATTATCATTTTTTCCGCTTATAGATACGATCACAGTTGATTTATCCAAGACTCCGATAATGAGAACGCACAAGAGAAAATAAGTAGAAATAGATCTAAATTACCTAATGTTATCTCAAAATGTGTTCTCACACCTCAAAAGAACCAGGAGAAATAACACTTCTTGACTTGACACGATATAATTTTATGACACTCATCATACTTATATTCCTGGTTTGAAAAGGAAATTAAGAGTACAAAATAGTTTTGCTTAGTTTGCTGATTATTAGTCTCTTGTATAACTCCGCTTATAAAGTCAGGTCATTTAATCAACCAAAATACTTTACTCAAATACAACGTCCTTTTCTTAGCAACAATATAAATTTATTGCACAAAATGTTATAAAGTACACATATAAAGTACATGTTCAGAAATATTATTTAACATTTATGAAAATTGTATGTGATACACTTCTTATTTTCTATATTTTACCAATTGGTCTATGAATTACTGTCATGGAGTATTTTACTGTGAAAGTTTAATAAGGTTTCACTCGTATTCAAATAGTCATTATGTCTTTCGAAAATGTCTCGATAAAAACTAAGTGATATGGTGAATAAATTGATATGGTTATATTTGATTTCATCATTTACAAAGTTTAAAAATTGTAAATTTAAATTTTGATCTACAACCATTAAATGAACATAAATTCTTTTCTTTTATTTATTGCCATGTGTTTTGGATATATTATCAATAACATCAGTATATTACCATAAATATTATGCAATCAGATCGCATAGCTACACTAAAAAATAATGGCTCAAGAATACAACCAGATGCTCAATAATTAATATAGTTTTTTGATATCTTTTTTAATATAGTCACAAATTTATTTCACATCTTTTATGAAGATTGCTCTTTATAAAATTTTACCCTTAGAACTTCATGTATCTCTATAATATATTAACTTCATTAACATTTTGTATAATTTTAGGTCAAACTAGATATTATGTTTTAAATAGGCCATCTATAAGAGTTTTTAGATGGGTTTATTTTTTTTTCAATACTTTTAATCGAATTAGATAATAAAGAGAAATCTTAATGTAAATTACTACAGAGATTAGTTAAGATAGGTGGGCACTTGTCAGTGCATGTATATTAAGGCTGGTTACATTTTATAAAAAAGATGCTATCATTTAAGCTTTGTCATTAATACTTTCGATCATAGTCCCCATTACTTTTGTAGAAAAAACCAGTTCATAATATGATACATTTGACTGCTGTTATAAATAGTTTATTTCTTTAGAAAATCGATGTATTTGATCTATTACAAGTTTCTTGATCTTGAGAATATTATAAATCATTATCTCATATATTGTCTAGGTAGAATTATGTTTTGTTTGAAGGAATAAAGTTTGTTAAGTCCCGTCATCACGGTTTTTAAGCAAGATATTTATATTTACATATCTATAAACAGTCAAAAAGCATCTACCGAATAAGGGTTTCTCCATTTCTAATTTTTCACAACGGTATCTATGCTGAGGGGATGAATTATACTTTATCACGAATTGACAGGCGTTTCTAATGTCGGTCATTAAAATCCGACTTCGTGAGACACTTTTAAGGTCCTAGAATTGATTTTGTAAATGATAACGAATAGGCAACTCCAAAGAATCATAGAA